ATTTTAAACCAAATAGAATTGAAATTATTTTGAATAGCTTTTGAATAAAAAAAATAATTTAAAAAAATAAATTGATTAATAAACCTTATAATTAAGAAAGAGACGAAAAAAAGATATTTTTTAAATAAAAATCTAGAATAATTTTATTTATTTTTATGCTAATAATAAATCCAAAATAAAATATTTTTTATTAAAATTAAAAAGTAAGGCAAATGGAATTGTCATATTCCTAATTTGGTTAAAAAAAATTAATTAAATAGACAAAAATATAAAGCCAAGTTAATAAATATAGACATTTTTTTCTTAAATATTTTCCTCTAAAAATTTTTTTCTATTGAATGGAAATGTACTTTTTTGTTGTTTTTTATGTAAAAATGGAAGCAATTTTATCCAAATTGGTGTTTGTTGATGTCACATAACAAAAGCGAAATGTGTGACTTTATATATCTATTTTATGGCTTCAGTTATAGTTTTTTAAACGGTAAACAGAAAAATAAAAAATTTTTAAACGGTTGGATGAACAATTAAACAAATTATATTTTAGTTTTAAAAATAAAATAATTAAAAGAAAGAAGACAAATTTCGAAATAAGAGAATTATAAATAAAACTTGTTAGCTTAATTAGTAATTAAGAATAGAAAGCATGGGAGGTAATTATGTGAATTTATTTTCATAATTTTTTTCTAGTATTCAAAAAATAAAATGTACAAATCGAAATTTCTTAGCTAATATTTATGAGTTACATAATTTGATTCAGTTTTACAAAGATATGTTTATCTATAACTTTAGAACCTATACTATAAAGAAAATTGGTATGATCCCAGAAAATAGAAAAAAGTGATTGATTTAGAGAAGGGATTTCAAAGGAAATGTTTGAAGATTTTTACAAAAATTTCTGTAAACATTTTCTTTGATATTGATCAGAAAAACAAAAAAGAACAAAGTCCATAAGTGATTTTTTCATCAAAATCAAAGATCTCAAAAATTAGCGGGAAGGGGTAGGGTTAACTTAATTCATTATTTCTTTTTTAATTATTTAATTTACCGTAGTCGTTTGTCTAAGTCTTCCTCCATTTTTCAAAGCATGATCTGCTAATAAATTTCTTTGCTTATTTTCCATTCTAATACTATTTGTTGTTTCTAATTGTTCGAAAGAATTTAAATTTAATTCTGGAATTTGTGAGGATGCTGAAGATCCTTAAAATTTTTTTAACATTTTCAAAAAATTACAAAATAAAATTTTTAAAATTATTCGAATTTTAATTTAGCTAAGAAAAATTCAATAAAAGTCCATGGGAACATGAAGGAGCTAAACTATAAATTATTAATAGCTAAATACTACGTACTATTAGCTTAGAAATATATTATCCATTTTTAATTAAATATTTAGCAAAAAGAATGCAGTAATAATCTTTTAAATATAAAAATTGTTTTCTGAATAAAAATATTAATATGGAATAAATAATTTTGGAAGAGAATAATAGAAAAAATTACAGAATATTCCTGATAGTTTTAACAACTTTAGGAAACGTGAGATTACTCAGAGATTTTCAATTTTCTTTCAGGGAAGATGGTTGGCTATACCCTTGATATACCCCCATATTTAATCTAATATAATTAAAAATCCATCGAGTTTTTCGGTCCGATGCTTTAGTTCTTTTTTAGAAAAAACGACAACTCCATTTGAGGAAATATGGTAGTTAGCCCCTTCGATTCGATCTTTATTCACGATGTTACCAGAAAATCTTTTCGAAAAATAAACGGCCTGGAAAATTCCTAATTTAAGATAGTAAGGAAATTGTATAACTTAGAAATATTAAAATTATCCAATAAATTATGCAGCCATTTTTAACGTTATGAAAAAAACATCAAAATAAGTTTAGTATTTGCTTAAATTCCAAAAATTTTATTAAATTCCAAAATAAAATTAAAAAAAATAATTTCATGTAAATAAAATTCCCCGGTGCCATAATGTGCCATAATATTTTTATAAAAGAATGTTGGAAGATGAGTAAGCAATGATATTAGCTTGGGAGAAACTCAATGAAAAGCAGGAAAAAATATTTTTTGAGGAAGAGCAAAAAGTATGTATTTTCTTCCCGCTTTTCTGCCCCTTGACATTGGCCATTTCAATAACTCGGTAACAGATATAAGAAATATTTATTTTGGCATTTTTACGTTTTTGACAAATGATGGGAGCTATGAGATAAGAAATGAAAGGGTAAAGGATTTTGTATTTTAAACATTAAAAGTAAAATATTAAATGGTTATTTCTGGCAAAAATTATACCAAAAATAATTTTAGGGAATTAAATGAGTTAAAAATAGAAAGCAAAGTGTATAATGGCACTTAACTAGTCTATGCAAAAAAATTAAAAATCTGCCAAATATGAAAGAAAATATAAATATTAAAAATATTTTCTGAGCTTAATAATGTTATAAATGTAAGAGATAAAAATCTTAAATTTAAAGATTTTAAGAGAGATATTAAATATGGGTGGATTAAAAGTCAGGTCAGTATCGTGTCGAGCTTTCAAAATTTTCTTCAGCTCGAGTTTCAAATTAAGAAAACTCGAATAGGATTTTGGGCTTGTTTTAAATATTTTCTTGGGCTCGGATAAAAGCTGTCAAGAAATTTCGAGTACCGATTTTCGGCGCCATTTTGTTTTTAAAACAGCTCTGCGGGCATAGGTTTTTTTAGGTATATGGCCCATCCTTGTTTGGCATATTAAAATCATTTTTTGACTTTTTTATCAAAAAATATTCTTTTCATAATTTAGCAATCTTAAAATTAATTATTTTTTTTCCAAGACAAAATTTATTAAAGCACAAAGTTTGCAAAAAATTTTTGCAAAGCTACATATTTAATCGTCATTCAAAGCGAATACTTGAAAGAAAATATTTTCCAAATTTAAGGAAAAAGTAATTGAGGTGCTAAACACAAATTCTAAAGAGTGTCTAGAGAAGTGTTTAGAAGGCAAAGCTTTTAAATAGAAAATGACGAAATTTGAAGAGAAAGAAAATATTGGTAAAGGGAATGTGCCAATTGCTTACTCAAAAATAATAATAAAAAGTAAAAATAATTTTGGAAGGGACCTAAAAAATTTTTTGAAAATTTTAAAAAGAAATTGTGTTTTGAAAAAATAACACTGAGTTCATAGTAGTGTTGGGTCGGAACCGCAAATTTTTACGGAACCGGAACTGAAATTTCGACAGGATCCGGAACCTGATCTAATTTTTTGTTCTGGACAAGAACCGAAACTTCCAGCGCAACACTCGTTGATGCCCTAGATATTGGATCCGAGCAACAGATCCGGAGCAGAGTTAAGCGAAATAAAAATTTTTTTGTATTCGCTTCCGAACGAAATGGAAAAAGGTCACAAAAATGTTTAAATTTGTCTAGCCATGATCCAAAACCGAAGATTTTCGGAACTGCTCCATAATGCAGATTAGTAGTAGAATTATTATTAGACTAATAATCTGTATTATAGAGCGGTCCGAAAAACTTTGGTTCCGTATCAGCTTCAGAAAGTTTGATAATTTTTCAAAGTTTCATTAGACAAAAACGGCATTAAATTCCCAAAAAAAATTTTTCTTAAATTTTGCTTTGCCAACTTCCTTATTTTATAAAAAATATTTAAAATTATGCATAAAATTTCCTCCAAAATTTTTCTAAGAATTTAGTTTAGCAGCTTATGTATTTAATAATTAGAGCCCGGATTTTTATGCATTAAAAAATGCAAAATATGCACTATAATATGCATAAAAAATTGCCAAAATATGCACAAAAATATGCAAGTAAACCAAAATATACACGCATATATGCATGAAAAATACCATTTATACCTAGAAATTTTACATATTTTTAGTCAAAATGATTTAAAATACATTTTTTTATTAAGATTTCTCCTATTTTAAATGTATAGTTCGACAAATTGAGCATTTTTACGGTGTTGGGCATTTTGAAATGAGGCATTTTGGTGGTGGGACATCTTGGGGTGCGACGTTTTGGGGCTGAGACATTATGGGGGTGAGCCATTTTCTGGCGAAACCAATAAACGCAAAAAAATTTTTTACAAAATTTGTAATTTTTACAAATTTTTTCCTAAATTTTTATTAAATTTTCACTTTTTGGCAGGATTTTAGGCAATTTTCGCAATATTTTCCCCAAAAACATCAAAATATGCAGTAAAATATGCATTATGCAACAAAGTCCGGAATATGCAAAAATATGCATTATATGCAAATAGAAACCCCCTCTAAAGTTTTCAAAACTTGCGGAAACAGTGTTTTTTGTGCATAACACATCATGAAAAGTTTGCAAAAAAAATATGCATTTGCATAAAAATCCGGGCTCTACTAATAATAAATAAGAGTTGTTAGGAAAGAAAAATGGTGGTTATTGGAATATATACATATAAAGTAATCTCCTATTTCCTCCCTTAAAAAATAAAAAAAAGAAAGAAAATGTGCGCAGAGTAAAAAAAACATTTTTTCTATAAAAACAAGTAAAAAATAAAAATATAAAAAAAGTGCCAAAAGAATTTTCTTTTTTTTACTAATCCAATTTGCGTCAAGAGGAAAATGTTAAAATTGGAATAGTTTCAAGTTAAATAAGGCATGGAAATCTGAGAAAAGAGAGTCGAATTTAAACGAGAAAATGTTGCAGAAAAATGAAAAAAAGTTTTCATAAATAGAACAATTAATTTTTGAAAAATTAAAAGAAGTTAATAAAAATTTGAATTGAGTTGATAAAAATTAAAATAATAAAATTTATTAAATTTGAATAGGCTGGGAAAGATATGAGCTTAAAGCTTGCAAAATATTCTAGATTCAAGTTAATTTCCAGAATTTTATAAATAGAGATTTAAGATAGAATAATGAATACTAATTGAGTATGAAACTATTTTTTACAAAATATTTTTAAATTTTGTTTGCCAAAAGTTGACTTTATAATAATGTTTTGATTTTATAATTAGGTAATTTAATCACTGGTGATCGTTAGTAAGAACTTGATTCATAAAATAAAATAATAAAATGAGAGAGGGAATTATTAGTTGATAGAGAATTTTTAAAAATAAAAAGAAGAATGAATTTTGTTTTAATATTTTTGAAAATAATTCTAATTAATATTATTTTCTTGAATTTACCTTTTTGTCTTTTCATAACACGTATAGGCCTTAATAAATCATGCCCATTCAATGAAAGAATCCTTAAATCGCCGTGGAAACGAAACAAATGCTCTAAATTATCTGAAAGGAAAAAAAATAATTTTAATAGAAAATATTTTTATACAAAAAATTTAAAAATTTTACTTGCGATTTTGAAAGTTCCAATAGGTTGGGCAATAGCTATTTCATTGATAGAGAGAATTAAAGGTTTGTTTTCAATATTATTTAGTAATTCTGTCAAAAATTAGTTAAAATTATTAATTTATTTTTAATAAAGACACATACGATTATGCCATTTTCCATCTAATTTTAACCCCATTCGTTGTCCCCTTCTTATCAGCTTGAGTGAATGCCAATGTATATTATTTGTAATGTTTGCAGAGCTCAGATTAAAAGTCTATAATTTGATTATTTTGATAAATACATTCAACAATTGTGAACTGATAGATCTATGACACCCCCCCCCCCAGTTGTTAAGATCATGCATCTGTGATGTCTACAGGAGCGAGCTGCCTCCGGAGCTTGCTCTGGAGACTCGGCCGATCCTAAACAAAAATGGAAAGGGCTGGACGACCTTTTCTACGACCTTTTTTGGACGACCTTCTTTTTGGACGCCTGGACAACCTTTTCTATATACCAGATCCTTTCTCTATCAGATTATAACCTTTTATTATTAGGTCATTCTTTAATAAAATCAACCAACACTTTGCTCATTTCCTTGAAATACCCAATGTACAATTAATCCTCCACTCCCAGTAATTGCTACCAACAAACGTTGTTTCTCTTCATCCTCTTTGTTTATAATATCAGATTTTGTATCAATTAAAACAAAAAGTTTTTTCTGTTTATTTAATTCGTTTGAAGATATTCCAAGCTTTGGACGAAATTTAATTTCCAAATTTTCCGCTTCCAACTGCCAAGAGTCAGAAAAATGAAATTTGGCTGAGAGAGATTCTGGAAGTGGGAAAGGCAAAGGACGAGGCTCTAGAAAATTATTTAAAATTATTTTTTCAAAAATCTCTTTGAAACTTTGTTGACAATTAATTCCATCAAAAGGCGTGTCAGAACAATCACAGTGATATGAATTGTGATATGATGAACAAATACCCCCATTTTTACATGGATTCTTGCGGCCCGGCTTTTTACAAAAATCAACAGAAAAAGAGAAGGGACAACCAAGTGAGATTGCTTAAAAATAATGTTAAAACAAAATTTTATATAATGGTAAAAGTCAGATTGATTCATAATATTTTCCTAAAATCTCACAATCTTTAAAGCTTATTTTATTTATTCGATTATTTTCGGACTTTACGAGATTTTCGGAATTTTTCTATACGGAATTACGGGACATTCCTGTACGAGAGTTTATAGGATCCAGTCCAGTGTTTCCGTGATTTACGAAATTAATCCCACGGGATACCTCGCATCCAATCTTAGAAATTATGCGATCCCAAGTAAGCGTTCAATCTCCCTAGATTAATTGCCCATCATATCGTTATGTTAAAACAATAATTACACAGTGTAAGTTTTCAAGGAAATTCGGTATTTTATTTGTGGGGAATAAATATTTTAATAATTACATTTATTTATTTTTGATGAAAGACTTTCAGTTGGATTTTCCGTTGGTAATAATTTTGTTGAATGAAACATATGTGCAATCTCGATATTTATGCCATTTAAACGAATATTTTTCATACAACCAAAAAAGCCTTGACGAAGATTTATTGTCCAAACCTTTAAATATTTATAAAAATAAAGTTGTAAATTCACTTTATTGAGGAAGTTTTATTCGTGTTGGTGTTAGAATCCCAGTATGATAGAACTATTATCTCAACTAGAACGATACTAACTAATAGAGCCACCAGTAATGAGTTTGAGCATTTTTGATGCCCTGACATTTTTATTTGTGACTCTGGATATTTTAGACTTAGCTATGGCCGGTTCTGAATCCGGTCTAGCTCCAGAAACCATACCCAACGCCGGTGCCTTTAAAAATGAAAAATTGAGTGTAATACCACCTAATAGGTATTATAAATAAGATTATTTACAGATGAAGGAAAATTTCTTTTAATTTCAACAGGTTCTCCCATTTCAATGACTGTTACAGCTTCAACTTGATGATTATTTTCATTTCCTTGATCAAACGAAAACAGATCAGGCCAAGGGACAGCTCCAAGGAATATTGGTTCATCTATACAAATTTAAATAAATTATAACAACATTCATGTTTCACCAATATCTAAATTTGCCGAGATTCCAGGACAGGAGAATTCAGTTCGGAGTGAATCAACTGAGATGAACCCTTAATAAATTAACATTTTTGATAAAAAACAATCAAATTTCATTAAAAAATCCAATCCACCTTTGCGTCCACCCCTTTCCATAACAACGCTATGCCATAGGCCATCGTTCAGGGATTTTGCAGAGGCCTTGAAATGTGATAAGAATTTTAATTTTTAATCATCTCTTCTAAAACATTAATTACCTGAAGTCGAATATCACCAGATCCAAGATTTACTATCATCTTAAAACTGTCTTAAATAAATTATTTTAAATCTTAACTCACAAATAAATGTCCATCAATTAATTCAAAAGCCAAATAATCACATATTGTAAAATTCCTGCATTGTGCCATTCCATGATATAAAAGTAAGCCATCAGGGGTCAGTGTTCGGAATTGGAAGGCTTAAAGTACTAAATAGTATTTACAGCATAAGATAATGTATATGCTATGAAATTAGTTTTAAATCTCCCATTAAATCTCGGTATCTCTCTCTATCTCTCACTCTTATCACTCTCTCACTCTCCGAAATATGGTCTCTCACTCACTATGATCACTCTCTTCTTTCAGAAAGCCCAGTTATCGGAATAGAATTTTTCATTATCACTCTCTCACTCTCCGAAATATGGTCTCTCACTCACTATGATCACTCTCTTCTTTCAGAAAGCCCAGTTATCGGAATAGAATTTTTCATGAAACTAGTAAGATTCACGAACGACGCTGGTCTCTATATATGAAATAATAAAAGGACAATTAAAAAGCATCGAAATTAACTTTGTATTTTGATTTTCTAAAAACAAAATTTCTCCAAAAACAAACCTAAAGTTCCACGAGATGGAGAACGCCAAGGAGGTAATTTAGTATAATTATTTTCATTATTAAAAGAGAAAACCAAAGGAGCATTTTGAGCACTTGGCATACAAGAAAATGTAAGGTCACCAAAAGTTTGGACTTTAAAATTATTTTTTATGATTCAACTTTAATGGAAATATTATTTGTTATTTATCACTTTTATTAATCTTTTAAATAAAATCTTTACTAAATTAATATAATCTTTATTCAAAAAAACACACCATTAGATTGTCCAAATCCTTGATCTGCCAATTGAATTAAATTTAGTTCAACAGGACCCGATTGGAAAAATATCTGAAAGCTTAGTTAAATATGAAGTTACTTTTAATCATTATTTGGAGAATTAAAAATAAATATTAATCTGTATGTGTCTAATATAAAAGATCAGTCTTGATCGAGATCTGAATTACAGTCGCTTCCTATCCTTGATCAACAATACGTAATTACATAATTGGGCTGTAGTGTAGTTCACCGGAGGTAAAAGTTCGGGACGAAACATATGTCATTCGATTCGTCTCGGCGAGCTGAGTCGAACGGTACCACTCCCAATTTCAGGAAATGATTCTGGACCGAGTTATAGGTCACGAAAGATCGAAAAACAAAAGGGGGGACCAAGCACTTTTTTGGGGTGAAAAATTCGAATATGCAAATTATACCTCATTCGAAAGAGCTCGTCGAGCTGAGTCGAATGACACCAAAATCAACAAAATCCGACTTGATTTGACAAAGTTATGACCGTTTGTTTTAGCTCCCTACCTATGGCATCTGTGGAGATTTTTGCTGCTACGGAGGCCCCAAATACGTCCAGAGCAAGGGAGATAGCAATAGGTTTATGTACGAGCCCAGACCCAGCGCCCGTAGACTCCCCGCGAGGCGCGTGCCGCAAAACCCCGCGCGAAGCGCGGGGTTTTGCACAAGCGCCTCGCCGATGCTCCATAGGTTTAGGTTTTTTGTTTTTTGTATCATAACTTTGTTTAATCTTATTCAATCACGGTGATTTTGGTGTCTTTTGACTCAGCTCGTCGAGCTCTTTCGAATGACGTATTATTTGTATAAAAAATTTTTATTCCAAAAATTGCCCCTTTGGATCTTCGAATTTTAGAGGTCTATATCTCGGTCCATTCAAGTCGGATTTCGTTGATTTTGGTGTCATTCGACTCAGCTCGACGAGCTCTTTCGAATGAGGTATAATTTGCATTTTCGAAATTTTCACCCTAAAAAAGTGCTTGGTCCCCCCTATGGTTTTTCAATTTTTCGGGACCTATAACTCGGTCCAGAATCATTTCCTGAAATTGGGAGTGGTACCGTTCGACTCAGCTCGCCGAGACGAATCGAATGACATATGTCACGTCTCAAACTTTTACCTCCGTGAACTACACTATATCCCATAATTGTTATCTTGTATTTACTCTTGTGATAAAGATAGTATTCTATTCCAGTGTTATTCTGTTAGCGAATGGGCTTGGTTGCATCCTATTACTCGACAATTTTTCAGTAGAACCTCGATCCAAGGGATTAAAAAATTGAGGTAAAATTGACTGATCAAGACCAACAGTATATCTTTTTCTAGCACTATATTCTTTTAAAAACACCTTTTTTAGGCATCCACGAAAAGGTAATAAATGTTCTGATGGCATTAAGTGCCTCAAAGTTTGAGGCACACCTCCAACAAAAAAGAAAGAATTTCCTAGCCATTTTAATCGTGGAGTGAATTGTAAAACTTTTTGATCAAAAATGTCATCAACAATTAGGCGAATCTTTAAAAATTTAATTTTAAATTAATTATTTATCAAGGAAAAATGAAAGAAAAAATTTTCAAGAAAAATAAATGCCTAGAATGGCCACAGCAAATAAAAGTTTTAAAAAAGTTAAGAAAAGGATTTTAAAAAGAAGTGCTCCTTAACAGAATTTTTTGATTTAATACTGCAATACAAAAACGGAAACAGAAAAATATTTTTTCGTGAATTGTCGGCAGACCTACCGTAATGACAGCACCTTTAAATCCAGGCTAGAATTTAAGATTTAGAGATTTAAATATTGTATTTGAAGAAATGCATTTTGTAAAACCTCTAATATCTAAGGTTGAAGGATAAAAAAAGTCCGTATATCCTAAATTTTCGATACTCTATGATCTGGATATCCGATCTGGATATCCGAAGATTTACTTATATCCACCACCCTACAAATATTTATACATTTAATTAAGTGTTTTGGTTGGCCTGAGAGGAATTACATAACCTTATAGGAAATAATTAAATATATTCACTCCAATTATATAGATAAGAAGATTAAGGATTGGATTATTTGTCATCTCATGATCAGCGAGAACTCTAATTTTTATCTAAATCCAGAAATTAAAACCTACAGAATTCAGTTCCCTAACAACACAAACACTATGCCATAAATTATTATTAAAATGTAAAGGAAGTCGTTGGTTACGATCTTGAACTCGAATAAGGCGTTTGTCAGTTTCTGCTAATTGATGTGTTGCTTTAAGTTCTCCATTTTCAATTGTTAATTTAAAATTACTCTTAATTTATACTATGAATAATTATGATTAAATTATTTTTTTATTTGATTAAAAATATTTCAACACATACACCTTTCTACACCCTTTCCAGATAATAAATAAAAATAGAATCTCGATGAATTTATAGCCAACTCTACCTATTTTGAGAATCCCGATCCTTCAGGATGGGATTTCGGTGATTGTGGTTTGTCGCGGAAGGAATTCGCGGTTTCGGGTTTTTGCCAAAAAATTGTAAGGATGAACTTTCGTGGTACAAATCGCCACACTGAAATAAACTAACATTTTTCACAAAAATATTTTTATAAAATTACTCTCAATATAAAGCCCAATCAAATTTTTTCATCTAAAATTGAGCCTTATTGGAGGTGGCTCCAATTCAGAGAAAGAGGGATTTAATACAAAGATATGATAATATCTCATTTTTTATTCTAAATCTAACCCTCCCCATAAATATTTAAAAATATACCTTGGAATCCCCAGCAACAAACAGAAGAGAATTTTTAGAAAAATTGGTTCTAAAAGAGATATTAAAAATTTCTCGATGACTTAAAACAGCCAAAAGGTCTTCATCATTAATTCCATTATTATTCCCTTCATTATGTAAATTATCATAGCCTATCCATTCATTTCCAAAAAATGATACTTCTGTGCTTGGCTTTTCTATAAAAATTAATTCATACACTAAATGCTTTAATAAAACCCGGGATACTACTTTTCAATAGAACAATTTGATTAGAGCCATAATAGATATGGGCGTGAGACTGAACATTTATTTTTCATGATCTCCCCGAGTAACTTGTATTATGTATACAAGTATCCTTAGAAATTCCCAAAATGTCAAGAAATCAGAACTTAAAAATTCCTGATTTCTGAAATCTTCAATAAAATATAATCTGGAATTCCTGTCTCTGATTTCCGAAATTATTTTGAAAAATTTGGAATTTTAGGAAATATTGGTATTGTTTTCATTAATTAGGCGATTTTCTCAAGTTTTTGATTTATACCATAAATGGGTAAATGTCCGTTTCGTTCCCTACCTGTCGCAAGGAGAATGCGCATTTTTCTTTCATTCTCTTGCATTTCTTGCGTTAGGTAAGGAACGAAACGGACATTTACCCCATAAATGGATCGAAGCCGGGATTAACTAGGGATTTAAGTAAATTATAATCTTTATTAAATTCTCTCACTATTTTCACATCTTCTCCCTTCATAATTTGAAAAGAAACAATCACAACGAGGACCATTATTTGCACTGTAACACAATCCAGAATTTAAACAAAAGTTATTTTCATCTTTTGATTTGATATGTTTTGAATTGTGTTCTCTAAAGAAAAAATAAATTATATTTTATTATAATTTTCATTAGTATTCCACAATCTAACTGGACGTTTCCGATGATACAGGAGATTACCGATCCGGCTTTTCGTAGCTCCACGGTACTATGTACCGTTCCAAACACTAAGTACCGAACACTACCTAAGTTCCTATCGGAGCACGGGGCCTTATCTATACTAATTCTTATCAAAATTTGTTGGTAAAGTTTTGATTCATAACACAGAATAATAATAATAATACTCCTTGTTTTCACAATCAGAAATTAAAATAATTAAATTACAATTACTTCAAACAATAATTATCATCCGTTTTTCGAGTACCAAAAGAGTCAATCATTAAAGGTGCAGCCATTCCTTGTGGATATATTCTATACATTAAATTACGAATTAAACCAGCAAATCTTTTAGAATATCTTCTTAATGGAGCGCTGAGTTTTTCAACATCCTTTAAAAATTTTTGAGAAATTTTTTAAAAATAATTTTTAATTTTTTTACTAATTTGCTCTCTAATACTTCAAAAATTAATAAAATGCTCTAATTAAAGCCCTAGGCTTTACATTTCCAATAGGTCATTTTGATTGGTTTATATTTGATACAGGCTTTTACTATCAGAGACTTGGAGTTTATTTTTTAATAGGCCTCCATGCATGGGCTTATATTAAATATAGGCTTCTAATAGAATCGGGCTGTAATTATAACATTCGCGGCATTTTTTTGTTTATTTATTTTTATAAAATATAGTAATTTTGTCCACTGTCCAAAATATTCGTAAGATCATTTAGTGTCGTCCTTTTTCACAGCTAATTCCAAAAAAGAAAATAAATCCCTAGTGGCTTATGTATGTAAATATAGTCCCCAAAAAGTGTGCAAAATATATTTTTTAAATGGAAAAAAAAAACTAAAATTTTTTTGAATTAAAGGAAGCTTTTTTGGGTATTTTTGGAATATTTTGCTTTTTAATTAAAATTTAAAATTATTTTAATTTTTTTAATCATCGACCATAAAATCCAAAATCCCAAAATATCCTTCTTATCCCTAAATCTTGGATATCAGGAGATTGGAGGGATTAAGAAAGACATCAAGGAAATACCAAATATCCTACTCAAAGAAATCACTATCCTTAATAAGTTTTAAAATAATAATTTTACTTTGGGTATTCCACCAACAAAAATATCAGAATTTGTTCGAATATTTCCAAGCATAAAACTTTTTTGTTTGTCTAATAAACAAAATAAAATTTCGTCGTCAAGCTGGATTTTAATATTTTCCCAAGCCTGGCATAAAAATATATTTAATTATAAAGATAAGAAAGGTTAATATGGAATGATTATATTTGGAATGGTATTATATCTAGGATTCAATAAAGGATTAAGATCTAAGACTCTTAATTTCTCGATAGCTTCCCTATATCCATTTTAGAGATCTAGCCGACCCGATTCCTGAAAATCGGGAATTCCAGACGGTTTTTGAGTAGGCACCATAGGATTGAAATTGGATTCCATTACTATTGGATTCCATTTACCCCTCTTAACCTCCTCCTTAAAATGCCAAGATATCCTTCTTAACCTTAGTGGATAAAGGAGGATAAAGGAGGATATCAAGGGTACTGATCCAACCCAAAAAATGACATTTGTCTCAGCCTTACCCATCTCTAATATGATTAATTATTTATTTACTTGAAATAAGGTAAAATAATGCCACTTTCCATCATCTACTTTAGTTTCCATCAAATAAATATTGTGCCTTTTAGGTGGAGTAATTTCAATTTCTCCAATTCTGAATTCAACGAGAATATAACTTTCGAGTATACTAATTATAAGAAAATTGTGATTAATTGCCCCTATAATAATTTAAAATTAGAAGAAATTAGTATTTTTAAGAGGTAATTGAGTTTGAAAATCCGAAGGAATCTAAAGCTTTGCCCTAATAAGTTCAATGACAAAAGTTCTATTTTTCTTTAAAAATTTTTCTGCCATATTAGGCTTATGTGCTTGTAGTATACTCAGGGTGACCCTTTCCAAACCACTAAAATAGGGCGCAGCCACTCAAAAATCTGGCAAAAATAGGGCGAAAATGGTCAAAAATAGGGCAAAAAATAGGGCATTGTTTTAAAAACTTAAAAAATAATTAAAATTATAATACAAAGCTTTATTTCATATATTTCTCACTAGTTTAAACTAAATTAAGTAAATCTGGTTCAGAATTAGAGGTAAATAAGGGATAGACAAACCTGAAGTGTACAACCATTTTTTGCAATCATATATCGAGATATCATTAAGAATAGCAGTAGTGTATATCAGGGCTCGCACCGACAAAATCACTGATTCCCGAAATCGGTGATCTTATTTTTATGTAGGTGCGATCCCTGGTATGCATAACATTCCCTTAAAGTTGTAAGGATTCTCTTGTAAGGATTCTCTTTTCTTAAAGTTCTTCTTTCAGCGCAGCAGGCGAAAATTTTGAGAATTTTTGAAGACCAAGTCACCTGTTTTCTTCCTCTTTTAGCGCCGCAGGCGAAAATTTTGAGAATTATGGAAGGTCAACGGTCAGATTTCTTCATTCTTCTGCCATTTCGTTACGAAATGCTAAGAATTGTAAACATTTTTCAAAATAGTAAAAATAGGGCAAAAATATGGTAATTGAAAAAATAGGGAAAAAATAGGGCGAAAAGGTCAAAAATAGGGCAAATGCCCTATAAATAGGGTAAAAGGGTCACCCTGAGTATACTTATAATATTCGTAAAAATATTAATGAGTTTTATTCGTCTTCAAAGTCTGTGGGAGGGGTAGAGGGATCATATTTTTGGCAACCATAAAAAATTTAAATGAGTCTATTCCTATTGAAAAATTAATTGTTATTTTTAGTTAATTCACCATCATCAGTATAAAGAATTATTGCGTTTGATTGATGCGTTTTAAATTCAAATTTAATTTCATTTTCGAATGTTTGAGCCCATTTTGGATATCTAAATTATACATAATTTTTCTCTTTTTTATTCTCAAGAACCTAGCAAAAGATTCACGTCCACCAGATAAAATTAGCGCTTTAATTGATGAAATAAACACCATAATTATTAAAATAAAAAAGGTTACTAAATAATTATTTTGAGCAACAATAAAAATTTTTAACATGTGAATATTCCCCTTAAAAGCTAAAAAAATTGGCTCCTGTTCAGATTACACGTCCAATGCCACCTTTACGCGTCCAATCAAATTTTATGCGCCCAATCATATTATCACGAACCTGATTCTTCATTTGGAACAATGGTCCGGTTCGTGCGGGTGTAAATAATTCAAGGTGAGAAAATCTCTCTATTTCCTTAGATTTTATGCTACTAAAATGAAGAACCGGGTACTTAAAAATGTGATTTGACGCATAAAATTTGATTGGACGCGTAAACAATTCATTGGACGCACAAAGGTTGATTGAACGCGTAATCTAGAAAAGAGCCAAAAAATTTTCTAAATTATTTTTAAAAATTAGTAAAAATAATCGGAACACTCATAAATTATTTAAAACAACACTAAAAGCATAATAGTATTTATGCCTGGCCAGAAAAAAAATAAAAAGCTTTTGGCTAGTAATTGTTGTTTTTCTAGCAACCTAGAAGTAAATAGAATATTATTTAGAGGGTTATATATTTAGGGGGCAGGTGTGGAATTATTTATTTGAAAGGGTATAAAGTTGGAATATTTTTGAGAAATATGTGTTGGATATAGGTCATGCGTTAAAAATTATTTTAACAAATTAAATAAAAGTATTATTAAATAAAATTTAAAAAATGATAAAAATTAAAAGGAAATAAAAAATAAAAAGCTTATCCAGGAGAGTTTCTATTTTATTTTTTCAAAGTTTATTTGTGTTCGATAAAGTAAAAATATCAGAAAAATTACGGGAGGAGTCCAAGGTACCGCGAGCCCAAGGTACCGCCGAGCTATAACTTTGTTCAACATTGTCGAATCCGGGACGCCCTGGTATGGTTCGATTCAGCTCGTCGAGACGCATCGAACCATACCACGGCGTCCCGGATTCGACAATTTTGAACAAAGTTATAGCTCGGCGGTACCTTGGCCTTGCGGTACCTTGGGGTGTACCCAAAAATTACCTACCAACTTAAAAAATATTTATGTAACAGTAATACTCTTTTAATTTAAATTATAGATATGATTGGTCCTCAACATCTCATTCCCCCGGCTCCTCGATCAGGCTCTACTTGATCGAGATCACCGAAAGCTATTATCTACCTCCAAGTTCCTCGAAAGTTCAACGGTTATATATTTTACAATTAAACAAGGTTGGTGCACGAAGCCCTGTCACATTGACAGTCTATTCTCCGAGATTTCCGTATCCTGATTAAATGAAAAAAATGGCAAAAATTATTGGAGCGCTTAATAAAAGGTTGAACAATAAGGATAAAATTAAAATGACAAAATTTAATTTAAATTTAAATTTTGCAAGAAAACAAAGCTAAATACCGTTCAAAAATATAAATAACGTTTATTATAAAAAATTCGAATGTAAAATTATTAAAAAAAATTATTTTTTTAATAAAAAATTCAAACCCAACATACTAAATATTAACCAAAATAATAAATAAATAAATATCAATTACAAAGTCAATATGTCCAACCATTTTAGGCAAACATTGACTACATTTTGGGCGCGTGAGATTTTTTGAAAAGCAAAAATGTTTGAGCCGGTGGATAAATAAGAGACTAGAATTTGAAAAAAGAGTACATAGCTGAGGAAAATTATTTTTAGAAAAAAAAATTTTTTTAATAAAAATACATTTTAATATGAAAATGAAGCCTTATTCTTTTCAAATCTTCATCTCTTTATGTTTTGGATTTTTAGTTTTTTTTCTTTTTTAAAAGGACACTTTCCATCAAATGCCGTTTTGTCAGCCGCGGGGGAGTGCGTGGGAGAGGGAAGAGGAAAGAATGGAAGGGGGGGGGAGGGAATTCTGGGCGGCATGGGAACCGGAATGAGCTTTTTCTTATTTTTTACTCCACTTCCTTTAAGTTTCTTCCGTCCCTTTGGGAAAACAAATTTTTGGAAGAAATCAAGTTTGGACAAAGCTTTTTGGTGTTTATGATTAGTTTTTATGCTAGTTTATAATGTTGTTTATTTTTTTTAAATAAAAAGATGAATGGAATTTTATGTTATTTTTGGGGTTTATTTTAGTTAATTATTAATTTTGAAATAATATGAAAGGAAAAAACACAAAATTCAAAAGGAACAAATTAAATTTTGAATTTAACATATTTTTTTGTTTTTATTAAATAGTTGGTCTCGACCTGTTTTGCAACCAAAAATTTTGAAAACAGAACATTTTGAACAATTTCTATGAGTTTTAAAAAACCAAAATTTTTAATTAAAAAATAAAAGGATATTAGCCGCAGTATTATTCCTGATAATTAGGGACCGGATTTTTAGGTTATAACCTATTTTTTCTGCGAAATAGTTATGATGAATTGAGCTCAAATCTGTTGTTATTTTTTGAATATCTTACGTTTACGCGGACTTTTTATCACCTATTGGAACCTATTTTGGGGTTTTGAAACCTAAAATAGGTTGTAACCTATTTTGAAGCTTTTGTGTTTTTTGTCACCTATTTTAGGGTTTTTTCGTAAAAATCCAATTTTTTAACACAAATTTTCAAAATTTTTCGAAAAATCTACAATTTTTTAAAAATTTTGTCAATTTTTCTCATCATCCAAAAATTTTTTCCAATTTTTAGAAAAAAATATTTTTTCAAAATTAAAAAAATTTTTTTTAATTAATATTTTTCAGTGGAAATTTTAAAAAATGGGAATTTTTTACAATTTTATTATACTAATATAATTTATGAACGGAAAATAGAAAATATTCAGCATTTTTGCATTTTTGCCCCATATGTCGAACTTTTTTTCAAGCCTATTTTTCATTTTTGTCACATATTTTGAAATTTTTGTCACCTATTTTGAAATTTTTGTCACCTATTTTAGCATTTTTTACAACCTATTTAGGTACCTATTTTAAGGTGTTTACAACCTAAAAAATGGTCCCTACTGATAATACTAATAAATTGTATCCAAAAATTTTTAAAAATTGTCTACACTAAATTACCCAAAAGCACAGTATAAAAAATAACTTTCAAGAGTATTTTTGGAACCGGTTTTCAATTTTAAGTTTTATTCAAATACCGGTTTTATTTTGGGAGAATTTTTTCAAAAATCACTCTTTTTCATAAATTCTTGTTTGAAAATTTCCTAAAAACGGTTAATTTTTGGCAAAAAATTTCATGAATCCCGATTTATAACCGGTCTTGAACAACTCAGCCCCACTCCGAATTATCTTGGAAAAATGTTTTATAATAGAATCGCATTTACAATCCGTGAAGGGGAATTATTTGATCTATAAAATAAGCAAAAATATATTAAATAATGTAGATGAGAATAAAAGTCATGATGAAATTACTCTTGTCACTTGCAGTTGTTAATAAAAATAGAAAAGTTGATATATCGCAGTATTGCCCCTATCATCCGCAAATGTTTTTCGCACATTTTTCATTAGTTCTCATTCTTCTCTTCTCTCATTAAGATTAGAAAATGTTCAAGGATTAATAATGGGCAGGAAATAATTTTCTTTAAATAAGGCAAAAATACAAGACAAAAATTTTACTTGTTCCAAGAACAAGTCTATCAACAAAACAAAAGTGATAAGTTTCTAAAACTTAAATTTTGAGCTTATCTCTTTATTAATTTTTTGCAAAAATTTTTTTAATAAATTTAACTTTATATCAAAACTAAAAATAACAAAATAAAATGAATATTTGATAAAAAAAATTTTATCTTTGTTTTTGTTTGCATTTTACTCACAATTTTTTGGATTTTTTAATTTTTTATATTTTTTTGTCATTTTCTATTTTTTTTGTTTTTAGAAATAATTTTTACATTCTTTCGTGTATAAATTTTTGTCAGGTTTGCAATTTCTCCAATCTTTTTGATTTCTCGCTTCGGTTCTTAATCATTATCTCAATCTTCATCATTAGGAGGGGGTTCGTTAATATCCACTAAAATTAATTATAAACTAAAATTATGAACCAGGTTTGGTCATTTTATTAATGACGTAAATTATATTTAAAAATATTTTTGAGGTAAATATTTTTTATGTTCACACCCACGATTATCATAAAGGGGCAAGAGATGGTATTCTTTCCAAACCATCAAAATATCACCTACGCGCTGAAACGGACAGGAAGAAATATGAACTGAATTGAGTGTGAATAAAAATTTCAATTGGCTGGGTCAAAAAATATAACGGATAATATTATTTTAATTGTGTTTTATAATTTTTTGAGAATTTTGGTATAAAATGCTGATTATTTAGCTCAAAATTGCGTTTTTAAAAATTTAAGATAGAAGCCTGAGCAATAATTATTTTTCTTAAAAATTTAAATATTATTTATAAATTACATTTTTTTATAGAGTTGCAACTTTTGAAGTGCTTTTTTAAAGAACCTGAATACTTCTTTCTGCATCCTTTACATTCGAATTTACCATCCTCAGTTGGTGCAAAATGTTTATAGACTGTAGTAAATTACTTGTTAGTTATGCATTAGTTATTATGAAGTAACGCGTTTATGTTAAGATAGGTTGTAACTTAGCTCTTTTTATGAATTTTCACTTTTTGTCACCTATTTTGTACATTTTTCCATAAAATTTCGATTTTTTAACCTATTTTCCAATAGGTTAAAACCTATAGGTTAAAAACCTATTTTCCAATTTGTCACCTACTTTGCGATTTTATACAACCTATTTAGGTAAATATTTTAAGGTTTTTACACCCTAAAAATCCGATTCGAGTCATTACAATTTAAAAACTTTACTTCCGCAATCCTTCTCGATATGGTTTTTTAAATCCGACGATCTAAGTGACGTCATTACATGTTCGCATTTATTACATTTAACTTTATCATTACCATCTGGTGTAAATTTATCCTTTGTTTCAGGGTTGACTATAATAAAAAAATACTTTAACTTTAAAATATTAAATGATTTTATTGTTAGTAATTTTTTAATTGCATTTCTGATTTTCATATAAATATGGGTCGGTTTTAGGTTATACCCTATTATTTCCACATATTTATTGTGTGAGAAGATGAAATCCTTTGTTAATTTTTATACAT